ATTTTTTTTGAGTATATTCAAATTAGGCTGAATGCAAGTTAAAGGAAATTTTACAAGAACTTGAACCATCTTGCAACGAATGAGATAAAGGCAGATATACAGATCAAACAAGGAATATGGAGTCTGTGGTTAGATGCAAAAATTACCTTCACGAAGGCCTCTTATATAGTGTTCTACTTGCCAATAAGCACTCTGCCATCACTGCTCCATATTGGAGAATTCACTTGTATTTTTTATATGATTGCTCTTTTTTTTTTAATATAGCTTTGTCTTTTCTTGCTAAAGTCCAATCGTGCAATTCTGCCAGAGGCTGTTTTTAGCCTGTTTGGATGGAACTTACCTGATGTAAAATGTGCTACTATGTATTAGGTGGGATAAGGTAAAGGAAAAGAAGGGAAATGAAACGATTTTATTTAAAAAATGCTATAGCCATTTTAAGCACATTCATTAAAGTAGACTCTTTTTTTGAAAAAAAAAATTTTAAACCATTCTAACTTCCATTTGGGAGAGAGAACTTACATGTTTGGGTTATTGCTCTTTATCCATCCCTCTCCTTTTACTTCATGTACTGAAAGATACTCCTCTTGTCGGGCTCTTTGCTTCAAGAATTGATCACCTCAACAACATAAGCAATTTCGTGATGAGGAGCCACACTTCTTCTGAAGTTAATTATTTCTTTATGAAAAGAATAAATAAAAAGGGGGTTTTTAAGGAATTAAACTAAAATAATAGGAAGGCAAAAAATAAATAAAACTGAATCAATAAGAGACAGCTTCTAGTCAAAGAATTAATCTCGACTTTGAATCATTTAATTAATTATCGATGCAAGGGTAAAAACCACCTATTCATGAATAAATTGTTTATAGTTATCAATAAACTCTGACAACTTGATTCTCCTTGCTTCGTCAACCTACCACTCTTTACTTTGTCAATAACTAAGATACAACCACTAGTTACTTCGCTAATTAAAGACCATTAATTACTTCTCTAATTAAAAGAGAACCCTAGATGAGACCATAAAATGTAATGTTTTAACAATATTAATTATTCGAAAGGCCACCAATTCTAATCAATGGTTTATTTAAATTAGATTATATATTCCCTGTAATATATATTCAAAAGCTTCTAATGGAATAAAATTACATTAATTACCACAAAAATATGCACTTAAACATCAAATTTGGTTTCAATTAAGCAGTAAGAGTTTCACATGGGATCCGCTTAAAATCCCACGATGACCAAACTTTACAGCTAAATGAGCCATACACGTACCATACAACGGACTGTCAAAATTTTTCTTTTAAGCTCCATTTTGATCTAAAATTCCTGTATCAATTAACACAATATTTGACCAAAATTAAGAGGAATTTTCACAAATAAGATGCATAATTAGCTGTCTATCAGGAAGATATTTGACCAAAATTCAATATTGCTGTCAAGTTGTAAATGCATGCAATCAACAACTCCCAAGAAAATGGAAGCAATCGTCTAATCCAAGCATAAAACATCCAAAAAGCAAGAGTCCTTTCCATCCAAATTCTATAAAGAGGATCAGGATCGTTACTTATATATAAGCATCTAAGAAAATTAGCTAATTTGTACAAAACATTAGGGTTGAAACTAAAGTTTTTCTAAATTCTACTACATGAAACAAAACGTTTTTCATTTGGCCAGTGGTGGCACATTACCAATTGCTTAGGTACATCAAATTTTCTAAAATTAGTATAATACCGACAAAGGTAACTTTTTTTTTTTGGCATAATGGGGACAAAGTGCACCCACAGTCCATCATTAAAAATATTCAAACAGTAGAGGTGGGTGAGGAAGCCGCCGCACAATGTGTTACGCAAAATTAGTCTCACAGTTAAAACACATTCATGTTGCGTTAAATGCAAAGCAGTTAATAATAATATTTTATCAAATGAATTTGATGCATGAACCTATTGTTTGGCATTGACTGACAGGAATGACAATCAAAGTTAACGGTACTCATTCATTCCGATTGTTTAGTAGATCACGTAATACAATAATTAATTAATGAAATTGAAAGTGTTACGTCTTACTTTCAGCCCAAACGTGTCAGAAAAATGATCAAAACCCATACGTGAAGTGGGATGTATAGTCTTGATCTCAATTCTGATTCCAATTTAAGAATATGAGTTAGACGCCACCTAAATTTAGACCTCTTAACATATTAATAAAGCGGATTAGCCTGAAGAATAGTTCGAGGACAAGACATTAACCTGATTTGAGCTAAAGCTGGCCATTATAAAGGACAAACAAAAGGGACTTTATAAAAGATTTAGTTCGAACTTCTTTTATTTAAATCAGGAGAGACAAGAGACAAGTATTTGTTGAAGAAAGAAGCCTTACGCTTCAGCTAGTCAATTCCCTTGGTATCAAATCTTGCTTCTTCCTTGTTGGATTTCCCTACTCTATAGATTATCTTCCTGCCAAAGCCGCCTCAACGGTCCCGTGCTTGGATAGTTTGATGCTATGCATGCTTAAAAGTTAAAAGGATGTGCAACAAATTTAGATTTGACATAAAGCTGGTTAAAATTTCCAGCTCGACAAATAATTGTTCACTTGGCTTCTTGGACAATGAATTTGTCCAACTTCAATCCTTTTCACTGCAAGATATAGTTTGGGCCGTTCTTTTGTTGCACGCTTTTACAGTTTGTTGATAGGGTACGTAATTGCTATTATATTTGTGAATATTTTTTCTTGATATTTGCCAAATATTGTATTATTGGATAAATTCTACTCATATTTGATAATTGGTATTGACCGTAAGAATTTGGCAAGAAAAGAAGTAAAAGGTGATTTCAAGAAGATTCTTGGCCTGTTCCATGTGACGGCACCTAAGTTTAGCTTCAAGTCCGAAGAGCTCGGAATTTGTTGTGCATGGCAGCTTCCCTACTTAAATTGAAATCCTTTTTCAAGATATTTGGTTTTCGTTCTGTATTTGGAAACAATAGCTTATCTTTTGTCGATTGGCCGAATCTTTCTTTGGAAGGAAATTAGTAGTAGTAATAGCAGGAAAGGAAAGAAACGTAAGGAGTTGGGATTCTTGGCTTTCGTGATTTTAGAAACATTGTTCCGGGTCCGAGAGAGAGAAGGCGGCTGGCCCCTTGAGGTGATTAGCCTAGACAAACAGAAACAAGGAGCCGCCGTCTCCTCCCTTTTGCTTTCTTTTCATTATTTTCCGTTGTTGATCGCTCGTGCAACTTTTGTCAATGAAATTATTTGGATTATTTTTAGTGGAGAATAACTAATTTTCTTTTTCTATATCAAGAAATAACGAAGGATTTGGTTTAATTACATCTGTAAGATCTAATTGTTTTTATTAGTTTCTTTTATTCGTTAGTATTCGAATGTGTTATGATTTAATTTTTCATGGTTATTTTATTATTTGAATATCATAACCGTCCAATATTTAATTCAACTTAACAAACTAATACCAGTTAAGACAATTAGATCCGTAATTATTTAATTGTCTTGAATTGGTGGCGACTAGTGTGATTGGTTTCATGTTAGAGAAACATATGATCTAATTTAAATAAACCTTGGTAATGTGTTTATTAATTAGAACAGGGCCTCTCCAGTTTCTAATGCAATCAAAAAATTAAATTTTATGGGCATACCTAGGGTTGTTTCTTGATTAGAGAAGTAGTTAATGGACGTACTTTAACTATCGAGATGATAAGGAAAAACTAGTTCTCATCGCGTGTTTGGCAACTATAATATGTTTATTAACGAATAGATGGAATAATTATTGCATCGATAACTAGTTGTATGAACCACTTCCGAAGTTATTTCCTTGGCTAGAGTTTGCCTATTATTGATTTAATCTTAACTTTCTTCTGTTTATTTGCTTTTATCTTCGTTGATTATTTGTTTTAATTTTCCAACCCCCCCCCCCCAAATTTAATTCTTGCTTATAAGGAAATAAATTATCTAGTCCCTGAGGAAATAATCCTACTCACTGCTATACTCAAATTTAAGTTTTTAGACTAGGAATTTTAATTTTGGTGGTTTGACACCCACCATTTGTCACACTCTTTTCTGAATACTCTTCGATGTATTTTTTTTTTCATGGCCTAATCTAAGATGCAATAATTTGTCAATCTATCTAAATTCAAATCTCACTTCTTTAATAAAATTCCTCACCATATCTAACTCCATTCTTTGAAGGTTCCTTTTTGAATTCTCATCAAGCTTTCTCCTTCTTAGGTTTCTTAATTTTTTTTTCTTTGGGCAGTTTTGTTGATGTTATATAATAGGTATACTTAGATTTCAAAAAGATTGACAGCTTTTTCTTTCTTATGAATAGTAGTGATCCTTTTTTTTTTACTTCAAAAACTACACTGGTGGTATCTACTACATGCATCAGATACCAAAAGAAGAAGAAGAAATCTCCTTTCGAGGCTGAAAAATCAACAAAATGAAACTCGTGAAGCTCCAAAACCTAGATATGAAAGCAGTTTGAAAATTTCAGATACAAAGATGTACAAAGATTGAAGAGTTCTCTAGTCCCTTGGAATATGAAATTACTGGCCTTCATTACTTCCCTTCGCACAAAGATAAATAATAGTATCTTCTCTTCCTTTTACCTTTATTTGGACCTTTATTTCGATCTCAGTTCTAGTAAATTTAGAAAATCTTGAATTAAACACTATATTTTGTGAACAAGAAGAAACTGTATAAAAAATCAAATTTTTACAAAACTAGTTGTTTAATTTTTTTTTATTCTGTGTACATATGTTGGGCAAAGTCCCACAGAATACTAGGGGCAACGTCCCATAGAATTCTGTGTACATATAACTAGTTCTTTAATTTTGAAACTTTATCTTTTTTGAAGGGAGACTCCAAATCTTACTAGGGGGAAAGGGAAGAATCTTTGGTAATCTGGCTAATGTATAGAGCTTAATAAATATGCACAGTTTAAACAAAAATGCTTTGAAATATTGGAAAAGTAAATATTTGTAACATTAGTAAACATGAGAAATGTGTGGCCTAAGAACAAATGCTTTATAGTCGGTTGGTCTCAGATGTTCTGAGACACCTAAGAACAAATCAGAAAATGGCCCCAGTGTTGTTCCCGTACATAGTGGCATTATCTTCCATCTCCCTCAGCCGGATAGGATCAAGCAAAACAGACCTGATGCGGTTTTTGGCTCTAGCATCTGGAGCACTATGAGCATCTCCATGCTCATATTGACAAAGAGCAGTTCGAGCAAGATCCATAGCAACTTGAATGAAATTTTTGTCATAGGGTGATGGAGACAACAATTGTTTGTTCATCTTCATCCAGCATTCCTCAATCATCTTGCTTATATGTTGTCTAGCAAACTCCTCGGACAGGCCAGTTTCATGCATGAAACATGTAATTGCGTTTGTAGTTTCACCCCTCTCTATCTCAGCCTACGAAAATGGCACAGTAATGTTTTACAATAAACAGCAGAATAAAAACAAGCAAAATGTACATTTTACGTACGTCGTCACATTTTCAATCGGAAATTGTCACTTTTCGTATTTGTAACTTTTTTATGGTATACTCCAAATTAAAATTAATAAGTTTGCATTCATAGTATACTCCAAATTACACTTTCACTGAGACTCAACCGAGATCAACAGACAAACAAGTCAAAATTAGATTAGAACTGATCATCCAAAAATAGGTTAACTTTCATTATTTGCCTTTGCATTAGTGACAAGTTTTTTAATCATCTGTATAGAGGGAATTGGTGCATGAGTACACGTACCGTCGAGGAACTCAAATCGTTGGTAAGACGAAAAATTATGCAGGGCCAACGCAAGAAACCAAGATGATAGTCCAAGCACACTATGGCCTCCTTTGAGATATTCTCTGTGACCAAAAAGTAAGCATGAATTAGTTGCACAGCTCCAGATGATGAAATCCATCCATTTTCGATGTACTCATCAAAGGTTGGTCTGACTTTCTTGTAAAACCATCGAGGTTCTTGTAAGAATGCTTTGCATAAATCTGCCCACTGAAAAATAGTATATGAACGAAAGTTAGACTATGTTAATTACATGAGAGATCAAACTAGTAATTGAGCAAATGTTTAATAGTAATTAACCAAATCAGAAAAATAGTAATTATGTTGGAGTGGGACGAGGAATCACTGATTAATTAATTACTTACTGCTTTTTTCAGTTGAGAAATTATGAGCTCTCCTTTTTCCTTAAGAGTGTCATAAGCCAAGTCGTTTATAGTGTTGTAAAGAGCAAGGAAGCATAGTTTCATATATTCAGGAAGATCTTTCACAGCATCAAGGTCCCATCTGAAGAAAAATATATAGTTTGATAATCATAAAATGGAAAAAAATAAAAATAAAATAAAAAACCATCATAACAAAATCGAGTAATTAGTTACGTACCTCACAATGGCATCTGTAAATTGCTCGAGTTCATCAATGGAACCATAAACATCATAGATGTCATCGAGGACAGTGATCAGCGTAAATGCTTTCCATTAGCCTGTCTCTTGCAAAGTCCAACTTGTCGGCTAAACCTACAACTAGGGGTGTTCACGAATCGAGCCGAGGTCGGTCAATATCGAACTCGAGTCGAGCTCGAACTAATTAAGTTGAACTCGAACTCGAGCTCGAGCTCAAAAACATTAAACTCGTTGGCTCGCGAGCTCAATTATATATTTTTTTTATTTTTTATTTTTTATTTTAATAGTAAAATTACACATATATTCCTAATATTTTATTATTTGTTAAAAAATTATTATTTTATTCATTTTTAAAAATAAATAATTATTTTAAAAAAAAATTTATTATTATTTTTTAAGCTCGAACTTGACATTTTGAGCTCGTCGAGCTCGAGCTCGAGTTTGAGTTTCACAAAATTAACTGGAGGATCGACTCGATTAGACCAAAACTCGGCTCAACTCGGTTCGTTTGCACCCCTACGTACAACTGTACACCACCTAAGAATGACCGAGAGCAATCCGTTATACGGTAATGTGCCTATCCTGTTGAAATGCAATTCTGCCAGGAAAAACTTCCAGACTTCAAAACTGGAATATTTATCATCGGACAAAAAGTTTTTAGGTAGACTAGGCCTGCAGGGAGATACGAGGCCTCTCCTGTTGAGTTTTGTCGAGTTCGAATTAGTTGGTGTAATTTAACATTTGGTGTAATAGTGAATTTAATAATATTTGGTTGTATGAGTTGACGAATTTTATAATTACATCAGAATTGTAAGAGCTTATGCTAATTACTGCAAGAATTATACCAACTGAAAGGAACTCAACTAGAGAGGCTCCAGATCCATCTACATGGTCCAATTTTAATCATTGTAGGCCAAATCAACTGTAATGTAGAAAAAATGACGCCAAATAATTTATGATAATACAAGAAAACTAATGTGAATATTTATTGGGAATTAAATGGCACCTCACAAGTTTGATTTCAAATTATTTTGCCCTTAGGGTGTAAACAAGTTGGAGTAGGATATAGATAAATTTAGATAGAATGTAAACTACCTAGAGTAGGGTGTAAAAAAATTTTGGAGCGACCATTTTGCGGAAATGTGAACAGAATGGACTGCTGAGGCCCCTAATCCCCAAGAGAACCCTGTAAAGTGAGTTTGCCTAATTATGCTTCTGGCATTGACAGTTCCAATGGGAGCAAGACTCTACTAGTTTCCTTTTTTTTTTCCCGTGAAAGCTCCTATCACTTATTTTAAAAGAAAAATCCATACAATGAAATGCATGTGTTTCCTGCTTGATCTTACCTCGATACTTCTTGAACTTCACTTTGAAGCTTAGCCTGAACTATGTTGAAGTCTAGCCGGGCTAACTCTAGCAGCACTTGATTTTTGTCACTTCTTTTAGCATACGCTTCAATATGCCACCTAGCCTCCAGCCTCTGCATTCTATAGTGATATGGAAGCTCCACAGCATGAGTTATTGGTTCTGACATGTTTGAACCAACGAACTCTTTCGAATCTTTGAGACGTAGACTTGCGAATGATTTGGCCTCGTTTAGTATACTCTCTCCTTCATATGCAAGATGTGAAGCTTCGAACAAGCTCAACATTCCTCGAATTTCCCCGGCAAGGTTTTCATTGAAGTTGCCATTTTGGTCCTTAAATCCCTCAAAGATATCTGCATCTCACAGAATTGCAAAATATGGTGTTATTGAGGAAAGACACAATGAATACACAGATTGGCATGTGCACAAAATATGGTGCCATTTGTTTTATCTGGATCGTGGCTATAACTTCCTCCTTTTTTAGGGCCCAATTGTATAAGTATACCATCCATTACTAAAGACTATTACCTGGGGAAATTTCACAACCATGTTGCCTAAGCAACGTGAAATAGAGAGCTGAAACATGAAGGCTCTGACTTGATTCCTCCAAAAGTCGAAGCTTATCAAGGGCGTGTTTAATGGTCTGGCTGAACCGGTAGGAGAGGCCAAGTTGATCGATGTCATTAATCATTTCAAGCAAAGACAATGGCTCCAATTCTTCAACATCAAGCATGCATCTCACTCCATCCTCTAAATTCTTTAGAATCTTCATCCTCTAGAAATATATTTACTATTCATTAATTCCATGGTTGACATCAATTATTCTTTTGTTTTTTTGGTGATGTAGTAGGAGAGGGACAGGATTGAAGAAACAGAAGGGGAAGGGGGGATTGGAACTGAGAACATCTAAATTCTGGAGTTTCAACCTTAATCCAAGACATCAATTATTCAAATTAAAGAAACTTAATAAATTGCTTGGCTGTTTTCATTAGGAAGAAAATATTTAGAGAATTGGAGATTCTGATCAATATTTGATTACTCTCTTCAGGTTACTCTAAATAGGAAGGGTTCATCTCTTGTTTATAGCCGAGCACAATAGCGAAGTACAAATGAGTACACCGGTAAATTTTTGTGTTCAAAGAAAAAGGAATCCAATTTCACTGCAATTTTATTTCTTTTTTTCCTTCTTTCTTTCCTGTTTCATTAAAAACAAAATGATAGCCACCATATATATACCCAGAAAAGTACAACTTCTCTCTGTCCGAGGTACCAAATTTCTGCTAAGTTTACTCTTCAAAAAAAATGAAATAAATGCATATATTATAGTATTAATATAGTATATCACCTCCATATAGTGTTGATCACGTTGTCTTGCATGTTGATAGATTTTCTTAGGCAGAAACATTAGTAAACACGATACTAAACACTTTGTCTTGTATAACGAGATTTTTACTTGATTGTCACTGAACCAATTAAAGTCCATTTTAAGAACCATAAGCAGTGGTGAAACCAGCACAATTTTTCTCTGGAGGCACAAGTTCTCTATTTTGATAATAGAAATAGACAATTATAATATTCACATAGTGCATAACAACACATAATAACATAAATATTATGTAACTAAACTACGGTGATGCAAAAAAAAAAAAAAATCCATTAATGCCCTACAGCTCAATATTGTACAAATTTTTATGTAATAAAAGATCGCCACCAGACTAGACCTCTTAAAGTGCCAGGGTTATATTTGTACTTTTGTTGTCATTAGTTATAAATTATAATGATAGGGAACATAAAATACTTGCTCTTTTATTAAGAACTGCAATTAAATTACTTTTGGCATATATATATATATATATATATTGTATATTTACTTTCAATAAATTATTTGACATAAAAAGCAAAACCTTAGAAAAATTCAATACCTAAAATAAACATTCTACTTTGGTGAGTGGAGCCATATCTGCAAATATTAGGGTAAAAATACTTTTTTTTTTAAAATTCTATGCCTAAAAAATTGAAGCTACCCTTTGACCAGCGGTGGTAGCACGTGCCCAAGAATAATTCCTCCCTTGACCATAAGTGATCAGCGGTGCTATTGATTCATCACAAGATTATACAAAAAGCGTTTTTTTTTTTTGTTACTGTTTTTCCTCTCAAAATGAAGGTAGTACATTTCTTGTTAGGATCCAAACGTAAAATAAACAACTATTGAGATATCAAGTGTACAATAATTTAATGATAAATAAGTCACAAACATGAAAGATAAACGATACACAATATTTAACGTGGTTCGACTCCACCATTGAGCCTATGTCCACGGACAGAAAATTATTCTTTATTATGAGAGAAAAAATCTATACAATAATACAACTTGAACCCAAATCCAACCCTTGTATACCGTCTCTCATCTCCCAAGAACCCTCTCTCACCACCCCATGTATAAGGTTACATGTCGCCCTTGTGTGCCCTTGTGTATTACTTGTGTAGTATGTCAACCCACCTATTTATAGGGAATATTATTTGGCCTAAATCTAAATAACAATAGGAAATCAATTCTAATTCCTTGACTTGTACAGAATAGGAAATAACTTCTAATCCTAAATTAAATAGAATATTCCTTGGCTACTATTTCAAGTAACTAAACTTCAACACAAAACAAGAAACTTGCCTAAAAGAAATTAAGTCAATTTCCTAACATTTCTAACAAAAATAACAAACTGGTAAATGGATTCATGTGCATGGATCAACTTGTAAGAGATTGTTTATATATACCTCAATATCTTGCTCATTGGCTAAGCCAAAGAGGACATGATTCCAAGAACTCGGTTGGTAGTTAGCTGACCTTCTGTCGATCAGCTCTGAGGAATGATGATGAGCTTCTTCTGCGTTTGCAACACTGTATAGTGTTTGCAATTTTTTTCTATTAATAACATGAACGTGATAGCAGAGGGATCCCCCTGAACAATCTTTGAATAGCCTCCCCTTAACATTTACGTAACTTGGAGGCAAATATTCAAGAATTTGAGCCATTTCAAAATGAATGAGATAAAGAAAAGCTAGTTCCTGAGTTAGATGAATATTTTGGTAAGTGTGCTCCTGGCGTGAGAAGCTAGAATGAGGGGATTCTTATATAAGGATACATTGAGCGTCAACCCTCAACTTGGGGATTAAAAAACCATCAACTTGCGGATTATTTATATAATTATGAATATTTCTTCTGCAAAAAAGATTCTCATATTGTTGGTATTTTTTGTTAAAATTTATTGAATTTGTCTTGTTTCTTTTTTTACCCTCATGTCTGGACAATAATTGAACTTATATTTTGAAGTTCGGAATATTAATTCCTTGCTTTCACTCACTCTTTTTTGCCTACACCGTACATTATCCCAAGCACTTGAAACTCATGTAATTACAAAGTAATGATCTCGAGCCCCATACTACATTTCTAATGCCTCTTGATTTATTTATGTCATATTTGATTAGGGTGAGCTAATTCGCAAGATACCATGAAAATAATCCATTTCATGGTCCTTAGTTTGTAAACTAACGACCATTAGGGTAATGGAAGTTAATTATTAACTTAGATACCAGCCTTGCTACATTGTGATGGGGAAAAAAAGACAAAAAATCATAAATGTATTCAAATAATAAATCAAATAAAAGAATATTGTCATGGTGATACATTTCATTACTACATCTCTATAACAAAGTAGTTTTGTAACATGTAATTGTAATACCAAAAGCTATTTCGACATCTATTGTAATATTTCCACGCTTAAAAACTTACTATACAATAAACCTAGCTTATAAACCAAAACAATATTAATATGAAATACACACACATTAAGAATTTTAAAAAATTATAAGTGAGATGAAATGTAGGATATAATAAGTGGAAAATAAATAAATAAGCATGATTGTACATATTATTCAAAAGAACAAAGTTTGTATTGAATCAAAAAGTAAATATAGATCATAGAGTTAAATAATTCGTATTATAACCGCAACTGGCTCCAAGTAACGAGATCGGGGTATAACTGTAGAGAGGTTACTTCAATATTATATGTGTCATAAGTACGTCATATATGTCATGTTGGGAAGATTATGCCAACCGTTGCTCACATAGTATTGATGTGAAATTTTAGTCCCTCAAAATCAAAACGAGTGATTTTGGTTCTTAACAAATAAAAAAAATGCTCACTTTTGATCCTTGCTCAACTTTCCCTGTAATTTTGGCCGAAATTTTGGTCCTTTGTTTATGGATTATTGGGTTCAAATTTCTCATGGGTTTTGATCTTTAGGATTCTAGAAATAATTTGGATGTAATATGATTGCAACTTTATTTGAGTCCTATGGAGAAACTAAAGAAAGAAAATTTGGAGTTTTGGATTTTTGTTTTGATCCTTTAATTTGTGCATATGCGGTGACTTTGATTTGATTTGAAGTTTTGGACATCTTTGAAATGATTCGAGAACTTGATTGATGCAAAAATCAAGTTGTAAGATTTGTCAAAATAACTTTCCAACAAGTTGGGCCAAAAAATGTACAAAGTCCAATGGGGAAGATGATGGGATCCAATAGAATTCTGTCAAAATTCAACCGAAAAGTAGTGCTGTTAGACCCAAACTAAACCAGCTGGACCAACCATGAACCGACCTTTTCTCGATTTGGTTAGTAGCAAAAAATTACTTTGGTCAAAAACCAATCAGAACTATCAAGAGCTGAGCAAACCAGTGATCTGGTTCGACTGCTTGACTCGATTATCAAACTTTTCTTTCTTTTTTTTTTAAACATAATTTGAGTTACCTAAATTGTAAAATTTTTATTTATTAATAGGAATAAAAGAAGCCACCGCTTTGTACAAACACTAAAATCACTCACACCCTAAATGATCTCTAAACCAAGAGTGTTTTTATCCCTATAATCTCATCAATTTATCATCAGTGATTCCAACTCCCATTAGAAAGTCATATTCCCAATAAAAAGATCTCGAATTGGGTATGATTTGTTGTAATTTAGTTTTTCAAGTAGTTTTGGAGAATGGAACAATTTTAGACATGATTTCATACTTTTATATATAATTTGTATGTTTATATTTGATTGCAAACCTAATATTTTTGGAACATTTTGGATAGTTGATCAAAATATAATCAAAAACTTAATTTCAATATTTCTAAAACTTATAAAATATAAAATAATTAAGACATCATGCTGACGTCAATGGATTTTTTAGAGCGGTCCGACTAATTCAACTAGTTGACACCTAACCCAATAATTTAACCGAATTGCTATCCTGTCCAATTTTAACAACGTTGCCGAAAAGTTGACCAAGGACCAAAAACTAGTATTTTGTATTTGTTAAGGCCTAAAATCCGTCATTTTGATTCTAATGAACTAAAATTTCACATCACTAATATATGAGGGACAATTGATGCAATTTTCTCCATTATATTCAAACCAAAGTGCCACACCATAACTGTTACTTCGAGTCTCATCAACTCACAAAAGAACTCATCGTATCCAATTTGGTTGCGACATTAATTAAGTACAATAAGTTATTTATCTCGTCTATTAAGGCTTCCTCCTTTTCTCTTTTAATAAAATTCACTCCTGCAGCCGCCTCCTTCTTGACAAATTAAAAGTCTTACTTTAATTATAAATAAAAAAATCCAAAGTATGGACCAAATGTTTAATATCTCATACTTTGTCCTCCCACCAAAATCCAGCCATTACAAT